CTATGTGTGTGGGGGGTACACTTGGGGGGTGTTCCTGGAATGGCAATGGGTATTCTGTGATGGTGCATAGATATTGTCACTTTGGGAAGCCACAGGCTCTCCTCTTGCACTGAACTGAGTCATGCCTGGGTCCCATGGTGCCTGCTCCAGGCCACCTCTAATCCTTAGTATCCTTCCCACTAATTTCCTGTCTATTCCTAGAAAACTTTACCCCTACATATTTGAACTTGATATTCTATTTTTCTTTATTGATTTTACCTTCCAGATACCCCAACACATATAGACATACACATACACACTCATTAAAAGGCAGATTCATTTTAAATAGTCACACACTCACATAATCACTCACACAAGCTCTACTCTCATTGGCTCAGGCAATGTTACCTTTTGCTGGGTATCCGCCATGTACAGGGAGGTCTGAAGCTGGAAGAGCAAAAGGGAGTGGAGGATACACAGTGCCTTCCTTGCATAATTTTGCAGTCTTGTCTAGAAGTTAGAATAAGGAAGGAGACCACCCCTCATATCATCTTATGCCCAATTTCTGCCTCCAAAGAAAGAAGAAGTAAAAACTAAAAGGCAGAAATGAAATCCACAGGCAGACAGCCCAGCACCGCACCCTGGACCTGGTAGTTAAAGATCGACCCCTGACCTAATCAGTTCTGTTATCTATAGATTACAGACATTGTGTAGAAATGCACTGTGAAAATCCCTACTTTGTTTTGTTCCGATCTAATTACTGGTGCATGCAGCCTCCAGTCACGTACCCAGTGTTTGCTCAATCAATCACGACCCTCTCACACGCACCCCCTTGGAGTTGTGAGCCCTTAAGAGGGACAGGAATTGCTTGGCTCAGGAGGTTGGGCTCAGAAGTCTTGCTGATGCCCCTGGCGGAATAAACCCCTTCCTTCTTTAACTCGGTGTCTGAGGAGTTTTGTCTGCGGCTCGTCCTGCTACAAGGACATTCATATCTTTCTCACACAAACAAATACGCACTATACAGTCTCTCTCTCTTTCTCTCCCCCATCCCTCTTTTTCTTTCTCTCCCTCAGAATAACCCACAGAAACAGATTTGTTGTGTAATTCCAGACAAGATGTGGGTTTTAAGCAGGGATTAGGATTACACAATTTAGGTGAGGTGAATAACTGGCCACCAACTTAGGAAAGAGTAGGTAATTAAGGTATAAAACCTCAGGAGTGAAAGGATACTTAAAGAGCACCTGGTAGAGTTGCTCCATTTCTTAAAGAAATTGATACCCAAAAAGTTAATTAAGGTAACCCTGAAATTATGTTTCTGCATCACTCTGGAGCATAATTCCTCAGACTCCCAGCTCCCAACTCTCTCCTGCAGTCTTGTCTTTTTTATTTCAGGGGTGACCAACAGGTTTGCAGGTCTGTGTTGAGTGGCTCTGGGATATTGTACAATGGTCTGTAACAGCAGAAAGGATGACAAAACTTCTGAAGGTCTACAGTAATCACTGGGGAACAAACCATTTCTTGACAGGTTGCATGGTTCATAATATCAAAGAAGTGTGAAGCCGGTGACAGGTTACACCTGCATGATACACAGGTACTCCAAATGGGTTTTGCCAGACCTCAGAGATATTTGGAAATGATAAGACAAAAATTGTCCAAAGAATCATTACAAGATGATGAGTAGTTGTCAAACTGGCAAGAGAGAATGATGTCACTTGGGCCTGTTAGGTATGTGCATGATGAGGTGGCTTCAAATTACTGCTGATTCTGTGATAGAAAGTCTAGAGATAATTTCAGGACCAATCACAATTAAGTAGGCTGATTCTGGGTGGGGAAGTGGACTCTATGATACACAGCTATTATGAATGTAAAGTCATGCACTTGCTTGTTCCCATTGTTTGAGACTGCTTTTTAAAAATACATATTTATTGTGGAA